GCCCATCCGAGCAATAGGCACTTAAAAAAAATATTTTGTATTTCAATGGAAAAGCAGCACAAACAAAATTTATACTGAACCACAACCACACAAAGTCAATAAAAAAAATTAGGCAAGGAGCAGAGGCCTGGACAAAAAGCATAAACATACATTTTTACAGGTTTACACAGGAAAACAAAAGTTCATCATCTATCACAAAGGGATCTCACATATGCACATAAAAATGGTATCACAGTACAGTGGCACAGCGGGTCCAACCCCAACTTCTAATCACTGACTTGTGCTCTCTTGCTACAACTAACCTATTAAAGGATAATTGAACAGCACAGACATCTCAGGAGGTGATAGCTACTAATATGCATCAGGTTCTGTCATCTAAAGAGACAGCAGAATATGGTCTGCAGTATCAAAGCAAGTTAATTTATAAGGTGTAAATAATTTTTTTATAAATAGTTATTATAGAAAAATGTATACTCCCGCCTCATCACAACCTAACATGAAAGAAAAAATAAAAAGTAAAAGTAAGCTGCCTGCTGGCATTGTAATGTGTTCCTACACTCAGTGTATTATCAATGTATAAAACAGTGCTGCACCGCTTAATTGTGTGTAGCTCTTATTATAAATAACATTCATAAATGATACATAAATGTCAATAATTATTCTTATTACATAAAAATTGTATCACACAAGAAAACTATGTACCCAACCAACACATGTGAATAAACAACCCCTTACACTCTACTTTTCCAACTGAAAAAAATAAAACCAAATGTAAATCAACAATCCAAAATTATAAACTCCATTTCCTAAATGTCAATTTTCTATGTCTCAAATTATCCTAATTCACATGTGATCACAAATCCTCCGTGTTCCACTGCAAATATCATGTGTCCCATTCTGTGTCCTCCACCACTGTGCACACAAAGCCCTCACCTTCCTATATTGAACAATACAGTATATGTATACAGGTCAAAGAAGTGCTTGTTACCTTTAAGGGTTTACCTAAAGATTTCTTCCTTTCATCAGTGGGTGCAGAATACCAGTGTAGCTCAATTAGAAAAGAATCACTCCATTGTGCAATATATAAATCACCAACCATTTATTAAAAGTAATTAATAAAGTAAAGTAAATAATAAAGTAATAAAGTAAACAATAAAGTAAAGTAATAAAGTAAAAAATAATAATAAATATGTAATATCACATTGTGTTGTGCACTAGCTGGTACACTGCAGATTCTCACATGTGTAAAACTCCCTGTTGTCAAATGCTAGTGACGTCACCCAGCTCCACTTAACGCATTGTAGCACGCGTCTTCTTCAGGGGTAGACTTCATGGGATTTCTTGTATGATATAATTATGATGTTATTTATATGTAAAGAGCATATTTGTAAACATTCATTTTTATCATTTATGAATGTTCTGTTTAATAGTAGCTACACATAATTAAATGGCGCGGGCACTGGTTTTTATATTGGATGTAAATATAAAAAGGACAAAATACCCTTTAGAAAATAGGATATAAATTGCAGTACTAGGTGCTTGGAATAGAAATTTCAGATGTAAAAAGAAAAGAGACGTTAGGAAAACAAAGCTAAAGGCAAAATACAAAGTTCAGTTTTCTGCACTACCATCACTGTCTGCCTGTGTTGTTCACTTACTCAGTGCCTTCCCCATAAGCATATATCTTTGTGGCTGTTCATTTCCTTACACACTGTATAAAAAAAATACCTTTATAATACATACAATGAAAGGGATAATGCTGATGGTTGTACATATGCATAAGTAACACACAATGGCCAGCCTGTCACTTTGCTGAAAAAATGTCATCACCTCAAGATCCTCTTCACATGAGGCATTCAGATGAGCGGGTGATCTGCCAGCTGATCCCCTGCTGATCATAGCAGAGCGGGTGGATGATAGGTCCGTGCCCGCTCAGTTAATGCAGAGTGGACAAAGGCAGAGCCCGCTTTGCTCTGCCGGTGGTCAGAAGTAAACAGACTTTGCTGTTTGTTTACATCCTACTGCCCTTCAATCTGCCTAGACAGAGGGGGGACAGATTCCCTTCTGTTTCGTTTTGCGGTTTTTTTTTAGCAGACAGGATTGGATTGGAGGTAGGTGGGTGTAAGTCACAAGTCCATTTACACCCGCCAGTCCATAGGGGTAAATGGAGGGTCCATTCAGGTCTGCCTAAAAAATTGACGGGCATACCTGATTGGACTCTTCGTGTGAAAGGGGCCTTAAAGCAATTCTAAAGGCTTTTTTTTTTTTTAAGAAAAAATAACAAACATGTCTATATTTACTTGCTCTGTGCAGTGGTTTTGCACAGAGCAGCCTGGATCCTCCTGTTCTTGGGGCCCCGCAGGCTCTTCTGGCCCCTTCCATCCTGTCGGGTGGCCCCACAGCAAGCAGCTTGCTATGGGGGCACCCGCTGCTCCATGTGCCCAATCACACAAATGGCCGCAGCTTGACCCCATCCCCCTTCTCTTCTCACTGGCTGTGATTGATAGCAAAGGGAGCCAGTGGTTCCCACTCCTGTCTCAGCCAATGAGAAGAGGAATAACTGAGACTCTAGTGTACATTACTGGACAGAGAGGAGGCTTAGGTGAGTAATGGGGGCTGGGGGTGATGCTACACACAAGGTTTTTTAACTTGATGCATAGAATGCATCAAGGTAAAAAACCTTGAGCCTTTAGATCCACTTTCAGCAGAACTTAACTGTATCTTAGCACCACAAAATGACAATGTTATTTAATTCATTTTCAATAATCAAAGCAAACTCACCCATCCATCCACGTGTCCATGCTTTATTTTGTTGTTATATTACTTTGAAAAAACACCCCCTAGCATTTCTAACTGCAGCCATCTTGACTAAGAGCAGATGATTCATGTAGCATTTACTTCTTGGAATCCATATGCCCTTAGCTCAGGCATGCAAACAGGAGGGTGTGCTTAGCTGAGAATGCCCCTCGTCCCAATGAAAGAAAAAAAAACCTATGAAGACTAATGAGATGTATGGTATCTTTCTGGTCTAGGCCAGAAACCAGGAAACAACTGAAGAAATGTAAAAAATAGTTTAAAACAAATAAATCTAGTATACCTTCCTATCTATTTACTAATGCTAGCAGCATAAGGAATAAAATGAATGTTGACTAAGAGTGTTTAGTTCAGCTTTAAGTCATCCTAGCCCCTATTATGTCCAAGGAAAGGTCTTCTAGTTAACAAGCAAATTACATCTATGATGGCAGATAGGTTAGAAACTAAACTAAAAACTTTTACATTATCCTTTATTCATTATTTAATCTGGAAATTCATCCTCATAAAACAGAGAAAAATAGATGTAGCTACTGTATCTCACAGAAGTGAGTACACCCCTCACATTTTTGTAAATATTGTATTATATGTTTTCATGTGACAACACTGAAGAAATTATACTTTGCTATAATGTAAAGTAGTGAGTGTACAGCTTGTATAACATTGTAAATATGCTGTCCCCTCAAAATAACTCAACACACAGCCATTAATGTCTAAACTACTGGCAATAAAAGTGAGTACCCCCCTAAGTGAAAATGTCCAAAATTGAACCCAAAGTGTCAATATTTTGTGTGGCCACCATTATTTTCCAGCACTGCCTTAACTCTTGGGCATGGAGTTCACCAGAGCTTCACAGGTTGTCACTGGAGTCCTCTTCCACTCCTCCATAACGACATCACGAAGCTGGTGGATGTTAGAGACTCCTCCACCTTCCGTTTGAGGATGCCTCACAGATGCTCAATAGGGTTTAGCTCTGGTGACATGCTTGGCCAGTCCATCACCTTTACCCTCAGCTTCTTTAGCAAGGCAGTGGTCGTCTTGGAGGTGTGGTTGGGGACATTATCATGTTAGAATACTGCCCTGTGGCCCAGTCTCTGAAGGGAGGGGATCATGCTGTGCTTCAGTATGTCACAGTACATGTTAGAATTCATGGTTCCCTCAATGAACTGTAGCTCCCCAGTGCCGGCAGCACTCATGCAACCCCAGACCATGACACTCCCACCACCATGCTTGACTGTAGGCAAGACACACTTGTCTTTGTACTCCTCACCTGATTGCCACCACAAAAGCTTGACACCATCTGAACCAAATAAGTTTATCTTGGTCTCATCAGACCACAAGATATGGTTCCTGTAATCCATGTCCTTAGTCTGCTTGTCTTCAGCAAACTGTTTGAGGGGCTTTCTTGTGCATCATCTTTAGAAGAGGCTTCCTTCTGGGACAACAGCCATGCAGACCAATTTGATGCAGTGTGCGGCGTATGGTCTGAGCACTGACAGGCTGACCCCTCACCCCTTCAACCTCTGCAGCAAATGCTGGCAGCATTCATACGTCTATTTCCCAAAGACAACCTCTGAATATGATGCTGAGTACGTGCGCTCAACTTCTTTGGTCGACCATGGTGAGGCCTGTTCTGAGCGGACCTGTCCTGTTAAACCATTGTATGGTCTTGGCCACCATGCTGCAGCTCAGTCTCAGGGTCTTTGCAATCTTCTTAGCCTAGGCCATCTTTATGTAGAGCGACAATTCTTTTTTTCAGATCCTCAGAGAGTTTTTTGCCATGAGGTGCCATGTTGAACTTCCAGTGACCAGTATGACAGTGATAATACCACATTTATCACACCTGCTCCCCATTCACACCTGAGACCTTGTAACACTAAGGAGTCACATTACACTAGGGAGGGAAAATGGCTAATTGAGCTCAATTTGGACATTTTCACTTAGGGTGTACTCACTCCTGTTGCCAGTGGTTTAGACATTAATGGCTGTGTGTTGAGTTATTTTGAGGGGGACAGCAAATTTACACTATTATACAAGCTGTACACTCACTACTTTACATTGTACCAAAGTGTAATTTCTTCAGTGTTGTCACATGAAAAGATATAATAAAATATTTACAAAAATGTGAGGGGCATACTCACTTCTGTGAGATACTGTGTGTTATAAAATAAGACTGAAATGAGACATACCTGGTTGACATCAATTCTTTGAAAGCTTTCCAAATTCCATTCTGGAAAGAAAATTACATTAAACAGAAAATTAAGAAACAAGTCAAGCATACTGCACACAGGTAAACAAACTAGCTTTGTAGCCAGTATATAAATACTGTAATTAAGGATAGTGGCATACCAAGCAGTCAGAGGAGTTTATATTTGCATCTCCCTTACGCACCTGATACTGTAGTAAATTATAATACTTTTTAAAATATACTGTACATATAAAATAGAACAGATTGGTGTAAGCAAATACAGAAAGAAATGCCTATTCATTACAAACTAAATGACTATTAAACATTGCATGTTTCAGGGACAACTGCAACAAATTCAGAGCACCAAAGCTGAAGAAAGATGTTTATCTCCTGGTTTAGAAATGTTTGTTCTTTTTTTTGCAGCTTTATAATGTTCAAGCAATGTGGGATGTTTAATTCCAAATCATACTATTTTATTATAATATCTTAAGAAATTATGATAAAAAGGTTTATTTTTAGTTTAGCACATGAATCATCTACAATATTTTTAAAAATACATATTATTAAAAATAAATGAATAAATTAATAATGAATGAATGAATCATTAGGATCTATCTATGGTGATATTACTTGCACACTAAAGTTAAGAATCCTACGGTGTGCGACCACCTTTACTCACTGAGATGAGGTTGTAATAAAGAAGTTAACAAGGGGAACCAGACAATAAATTAAACAAAAACTCTTCCAGCAAAATCCTGGCACTCAAAAAACCATGGGTTTCACGCCACATACTAATTTTTTTAGAGGTGTTTCTGTGCTGATAAGTAAATCTCATGTGTGGTAGGTGTGATACAGACCCTTCAGGTAAATTTGTGGTGGTGGTTTTTAGCCTGGGGAGCCTGAAATATATTATTGTGAATGTCTATGTGCCACCCCCTTCTTTGACACTATATTATATATGATTATAGACAAGATATCCCCTCATTTGCCTACCAAGCTCTTGATCATGTTTCATCTCTAGCCATTCCGCAGATGTTGCCGAGTATTAATATCCTAGTGATCAGGCTGCCAAATGCCCGAGAATAAGTTATGAATCATAATAGCAGCTATGAGAGTTTCTGGTCATAACTTAGGGCTCCACCTATACCTCCCTCCCCAAGAGGAGACTGTCACAGCTGCTTCCCCCCGTCAGGATGACCCCCCCCCCCCCGCTGTCTCTCGTCCTGCCGCGGCTCCTTGGAGCTGAGCCGCGCAGGACAACAGGCGTGGCCCCTCTCACCTCTGCCACTATCTTGTCCCCATCCGGCGAGGCCGGAGGAGACGGGATAGCAAGGCTCACACCTCACTGCGGAGAGGTGCGGACCTCCTGCAGAGATGAGAGGGATCACGGCGACAGGCTGACGCCGAACGATCCCTTGCGGATGTTCCTGGCTTAGAAGCACGGCCCGTGTCCAGGAAGTTCTCGCGCTTGCGGATGTTCCTGGACAAATTTCTTAGAAGCACGGCCCGTGTCCAGGGGGCGTGCCTCGTTACCAGGCGACGAGGCACGCCAGCTCCGGCCCACCCCGGTTGCCAAGACTACCGGAGAGCGTCCTGCATCAGCTTAAGAAGCTGATTCTGGGCGCTCCGGTCATCTTCTCCACTGCGCAACCATTGAGGGAGCCCAGCTGCGGCGGACCTTTGTGGTTAGACTCTGCCAAGACCCCCAGCCAAGGGGGGAACTGCACTCAAGCCTGCCTGAGACCCCCAGCCTAGGGGTGCCTTGCCTGCCAGCCTGCCTGTGACCCCCAGCCCAGGGGTAGATTGCCTGCAAGCCTTGCCTGAGACCCCAGCATAGGGGGAAGATTGCCTGCCTGTTGCCTGAGACCCCAGCTTAGGGGGGAGATTGTTTGCCTGCTGCTTGAGACCCCAGTCCAAAGGGGGGGGAAGACCGCACAAGCCACCCTGCCTGAGGCCCCAGCAAAGGGGGGAGATTGCCTGCCTGCTGCCTGAGACCCCAGGCTAAAGGGGGGAGACCGCACAAGCCAGCCTGCTTGAGACCCCCAGCCCAAAGGGAGAGACCCCTCGCCTGTCCTGGACCTCCAAAAGGTACCTGTGTCTTACCTTCTTAACCCTGGGAGACCGGACCCCCTGTCGGATCCGTGGGAATATGCTTTCCCCTGTTTTACCTGAACTGTCCCTGTGATGATCCCCTAACCCCCCTGTTGGATTACAATCTGCTGCAGAGACTTTTTCTTTGCTCTCGATACTGGACTACAAGTGTTTTAGCCCCTCCTTGCTGTCCCCCTACTGGCGAGATCACCCTCCCTGCCATTTCCCCATTTAGTGACTGTCATTTTGCTATCTCAATAAAGCTTTGTGCGTTTGCCATCTGCTCTGTGTGTTCTGTCCTGCCTACCCTCCGTCACAGAGATGATTGGTTTACTGCTCCAGGGAGGCACCCAGTGGAGATACTAGAAAAGCTAAGCTGAGTTAAGGGGTAGAAAGAAGGTCTCCTGTTTTAACATCGAAACTGACAGTGGGAGACAAGAAAAATCCTTTTGGCTTATGAAACTTGAAGCTGCTTAAACCAAGGCTGACTGGCAAGTACTTTAACCCTCTAAATTCCTGTTACCTCTTTGCTGTGCTGTTCTCTGTATATTTATATATATATTGGCTAAATCTTTTTCTGTAAATATTTTTATTGCACCCTTTTGACCTTTTTAGTAATAAATCTTACTTTCTGAAAGTGTTGAACGGTTTCTAAAGCTCTTTAATGCAAATTACGAATTCCTGCCTCTGAAGAGCGCTACTGTGTGTGTTTAACCTGCCTGCAGTGACAGTGGTATACAGACGATTATTTCACCCATCATAGTGTTATTGCTGATATTGCCGAGTTTCCTCTTTCTCTGTACAAAAAGGAGGTGGTGGCAGTGTGAAGAGTTAAGTGCGTAATTAATCTGACCCAGTAACAATCGCTTTCAGGCTGCCGGTACATCGATTGTGGTCCAGTGAGCTGGAAAATCTTTGTGCAGGGTGCAGCTGGGCGTGGCATTGTTACGCACGTGACATCGCGGTTTTAGATTGGCTGATCCTTCGGTCACAAGTTTGGTGAAAAGGGCTGGGGTCTGACGCCGCGATCGTCACACTCCCCCCAATGAATTCCCAAATCCTTTTTTGCTCAATTAAACCAGATATTCTTTTCTTTCCTTTGGGGCCCCAAAACCCCTTGGTATAAAATCACTACTCACATGAGACCATCTCTACATGGGGGTTTAGCACTCACAGACTGCCACAAATAGTTTCTCACAACACAGCTGGTGACAGCCCACTGGTAGCTCCAGCTGGAGGTCTCCAACTGCTGCATGATGCTGGAAAGTTCTTTAGAAGCCTTTCAAGTATTGCTTTTGTGGAGTCCTAAGGCTCCATATTCCCTTAACCCCTCCATGCCTCCTATGCAACACTATGGAAGAACCCAAACAAGAACTAATTCTAAGCCCTACATTTAAACTAAACAAATATATCCCAATGCTAATTCAGGAAAAACACTTTAAAAAAAAAAAAAATCACTGAAGTATTAAAAAAATATAGCAGCTACAGTCATGGCCAAAAATATTGGCACCCCTGCATTTCTGTCAGATAATGCACCACTTTGTCCAGAAAATTGTTGCAATTACAAATGTTTAGGTATTCTCATGTTTATTTATTTTGTTTGTATTGGTGAGACATAAAAAAGTGGAGAAACAAAAAGCCAAATCTGACACATTCCATGCACCACCCCAAAAATGGTCTGGACAAAATTATTGGCGCCCTCAATGTAATATTTGGTAGCACACCTCTTGGAAAAAACTGAAATCAATCGCTCCATGTAACCATTAACTCCTACTGGAATGTTGGACCACTCTTCTTTCACCAACTGCTTCAGGTCTCTCAAATTAGAAGGTTTCCTTTTCCCAACTGCTATTTTGAGATTTCTCCACAGGTGCTCTATGGGACTGAAACTTGAACTCATTGCTGGCTAGTTCAGTACTTTCTAGCACTTTGTCTTAAACCATTTGTGGGTGCTTTTTGACATGTGCTCTGGGTCATTGTTCTGCTGTAAGACCCATAACCTCTAACAGAGACCCAACTTTCTGACACTGGGCCCTACATTACACCCGAAGATACTTTGGTAGTCTACAGATTTTATAATGCCATGTACACAGTCAACACATCCAGTGCCTGAAGCAGCAAAGCAACCCCAAAACATCAGTGAACCTCCGCCATGTTTGACTTTAGGGACTGTATTCTTTTCTTTCAAGACCTAATTTCTTTTTCTGAAAACAGTAGAATGAAAGGCTTTACCAAAAAGCTGTAATTTTGTTTCGCCTGTCCACAGCACATTCTCCCAAAAAGATTTTGACTTCCTCAGGTAAGTTTTGGCAAACTCCAATCTGGCTTTTTTATGTTTCTCTCAGCAGTGAGGTCCTCCTGGGTCTCCTACCATAGGGTCCCTTTATATTCAGATTGCAAAATATAGTGCGAGCTGACACAGTTGTACCCTGTGCCTGAAGGGTCAGCTTAAAATTGTCTGGACGTTGATCGAGGTTCTTTAGCCACCACTCAAACAATCCTTCGTTGCAATCTTCGATCAGCTTTTCTCTTTCATCCACGTCCAGGGAGATTAGCTACAGTGCCATGGGCTGTAAACTTTTTGACAATGTTGCACACAGTGGACACAGGAACAGTAAGATTTCTGGAGATGGACTTGTAACCTTGAGATTGTTCATGCTTTTCCACAATTTTTGTTCTCAAATCCTCAGATAATTTTTTTGCTGCTTTTTCTCTTCTCCGTGCTCCATGTGGCACACAGAGAAACACAACAGAAAGGTTGAGTCAACTTTTCACCATTTTAACTCGTCGTTGGTGTGATTTCTACATTGTCAGCACCTGATCATAAACTTGGAATGCAATTATTTCTTACAATTTTGATGAAGTGTCAGTAATTTTGTCCAGTCCAATTTTGGAGTTTTGGGTGGAATGTGTCAGATTTTTTTTTTGTTTCTCCACTTTTTTGTGTCATACCAAAACAAACAAAAAAAAAAAAACAGGAGAATGCCTAAACATTTGTAATTGCAAAAATGTTCTGGGCAAAGTGGTGCATTATCTGACAGAAATGCAGGGGTGCCAATATTTTTGCCCATGACTGTATGTGTATGTCACAGCTGTCAATACTGGGAATGGCCAATAGCAATAAAGTAAACCTGCCATAAGACAGGGCTAATAGTGGTGACTACTGTGGCGATTGGACTCGGACAACCATTTTGTTAAGATCTACCATCTTGTATCATACTCTGCAAATGTCATTCTCACTCTGTTCAGTCTTCCCCTTCCCTTTTTTTTGAATGGCGTGTGGTGTGTGTGTATATGCTAGGGACACAAATACATCAGGCACAGCTGGATACGCTTCGTAAACCCAATTAGCTGGTCCCATGATGTCTGTCAGACTCTTGCCTTGGCCTGGTCATAAAGCTATAAATCAGTCAGTCACTGGACATGAAAAGCATTCCAGAGTGGCAGTAAAACGTACATCCCACTTGAATCACTTTTCATACAAATTCATAAAATTCAACAGGATCATGGCACATTAAAAATAAAGCATATATTCAAATAGGTAATTATAATACGGGTCACCTGACACCTTACACCCCTGGGTGGTGCCTACGAAAGAGTAGAAAGCCATATAGTTTTATCTGGAGTAGCAAGATAGGTCATATTTGGTGTCTGGACGTTCGGAATATGATTCTGCATATTAATCTACCAGGGGCTAGGCTGCTACATGTACCTATGAAAGGTTACTGACCATGGTATAAACTTGGGAGGGGTTTGGGTCACAGCCTGGGTCTCCGCCTAACACCCTCCCCAAATGAGGTGATTGGCCCTTGGCTTCAGTAGACACCCCCTGCTGGGACACTAGAAAAGGCTGTCATGCCTGGAGAGAGGGATGAAGAGATTCTCCCTTTTAACATCAGGAACCATATTTGGGAGAAAAGGTACCCTTTTGTTCAGGACACGTGAGCTTTGCTTAAACCAAGGACTTCTGCAAGTATCCTACCTTCTTAAACTTCTTCCTGTTATCTCTCTGTTGTGTTATTGCTCTGTGTATTTATATATATATATATATATATATATATATATATATATATATATATATATATACACACATACATACATATATTTGTTACATCTTTTTCTGTAAATATTTTTATTGCACTATTTTGACCTTTTTAGTAATAAATCCTATTTTCTGAAAAGTGTTGAACTGTTTCTACAGCTCTTTAATGCAAACTAAGAATCTGTGTCTCTAAAGAGTGCTACTGTGTGTTTTAACCCTCTGCATACATCTGTCTACGGTGGCAGTGCGTATACAGACGCTTATTCAAACATCATAGTGTTACTGCTAAGATTTGTGAGTTTCCTCCTTCTCTGTAAAAAGGTGGTGGTGGCAGTGTGAAGGGTTAATTGCATAATTAACCTGACCCAGTAACAAATCGCTCTCAGGCTGCTTGGCACATAGATTGTGGAACAGTGAGCTGGAAAATCTTTGTGCAGGGTGCAGCTGAGAGTGGCATTGTTACGCAAGTGGCAGTGCGATCTTAGATTGGCTGGTCCTTCGGTCACAAGTTGGTGAGAAGGGCTGGGGTCTGACGCCGCGCCAATCACAACTACCTTATGAAAATACCAGTTATCTGGCTGCTATCAAGACACTGTGTCCTCAGTTATGTTATGGCCTCAGTTTGAGTCAATGACCAAGAACAAGTATGCAGATTAAAAAAGTAATTAAAAGGATTAAAAGTCATTATCTGCATGCCTTTCAAACTGAATTCACAGTACAAAATTATAACTTACTGGAAAGTTGTTTGGGAGATTGCTATCAAAAAAACGTATCCCAATTGCTATTGCTCCCCTTCGACAAGCCAGCACTGGCCTATTATACTGCCTGTCTCATGTCCAGCAATTTAACCTTCTATCATACTGTCTTAAAAGGATGAAAACTCCAGCCAACCAGTTTACAATATTATTAAAATGCATATACTGTGTGTGAACAGTTTAACCTCCCAAAAAATGAGGAGCCTGGTTATTGCACTTTAAGTGTGTTTTTATCTGTACCCTAAGTGTTTTTAACTGCACATGGAGGATTTTGTGTCAGTATTCTCAATGGCACAATTTCTACTTATGCAAAATGTTATTATTGCGAACAATTTAGAACCTTTATCTGGTGTTTATTCTTTCTGTGCCCGCACATCGAGCACGCAGAAGTGACAAGTACTGTCTTTCGTGCAATAAAATTCCCCTGCCGCACTGCTTGATATTTTCATCAGTGTCAGGCTGGTATCTGACTGCCCATATGACATCATCCACAGCTCGCCAATGAAGAGTCCTGAAGACTGCCACTTGAAAGATGCCTGTGAGGATCTGTTCAACAGGTAAGTATTCAACCTTTAGTTCTGCCTTAATTACCCTGATCCCAAACATCACCCCCCCCCCCCCCCAGTCTTGTGCGGGGTGAACTGTTCCTGTGACAACATCAAGCCCTTAACCCTGCTCTGGATTTGGGGGGGGGGGGGGGGGTTTGCCTGCATTTGGTCTTTAATGCACAGAGCTGTTCCACCCCATAGCAAATGTGTAAGAAACATTAATGCTAAATCATGAAAAGTGTTTTAAACAGTATAAATGTTTTACTTCTCTCTTCATTTCTCCCTTCCTTTTAAACCAGCGGTTCTCAACCTGGGGGTCCCGACCCCTTTGGGGGTCGAACGACCATTTCACAGGGGTCGCCTAAGACCATCAGAAAACACATATTTCCGATGGTTGAATCATTAGGGGAACCGATTGTGACACCGCTCCTCTCTCAGGTTATTCTAAAGATCTGTGGCCGGGATTGATATGCTGCCCTGTAACCTGGCGCTATATCACTCCGGGATCACTCAAAGCTCCGCCTCCTCGCCGCTGATTGGCCACCGGAACTGTAGCTCAGGAGAGGCACACAGGCAGGCCAATCACCGCGAGGAGGTGGAGCTTGGAGAGGAGGAGCCGAGCGGCAGCGCGCGGAGATCGAAGAAGATCGAGGGAGCTGCAGGAGCGAGTGAAGAGAGAGGCCAGAGAAGGAAGACTCTGACAGGTAAGTGCAAATTTTGCATGCTGCAGCCAGGTATGCAGGCTGTACAGTAGATGGGAGAGGAAGAGAACGAGCCCAGGCTGGAGCAGGAGTCAGCAAGGTAAGTATCATTGGTGTCAGTGGAAGGGATAGTGCCCCATCATTTGTGTCACTAATACCAACGATGGGCATACTATTCCTCCCCCCACTGACACCAACGATGGGGCACAATTTCCTGGACCCCCCACTGACACCAACGATGGGGCACTATTTCCTCCCACTGACACAAAAAAATTAAGATGAGGCACTATTCCTCCCAATGACACCCACAATGACATATGGGGCACTATTCCTCCCACTGACACCCACAATGGGGCACTATTTCCCCACTGACACCAATGATGGGGCACTATTTCCTTCCACTGACACCAATGATGGGGCACTATATTCCTCCCACTGACACCAATGATGGGGCACTATTCCTCCCACTGATACCAATGATTGGGCACTATTCCTCCCACTGACATCAATGATGGGGCACTATTCTCCTCCCACTGACAGGTCCAATGATGAGGCACTAATTCCTCCAATGACACCCACAATGGGGCACTATTCCTCCCCACTGACACCCACAATGGGGCACTATTCCTCCCGCTGACACCCACGATGGGGCACTATTCCTCTCACTGACACCAATGATGGGGCACTATTCCTCCCACTGACACCAATGATGTGGCACTATTCCTCCCACTGATACCAATGATGGGGCACTATTCCTCCCACTGACACCAATGATGGGGCATTATTCCCCCCACTGACACCAATGATGAGGCGCTATTTCTCCCAATGACACCCACAATGGAGCACTACTCCTCCCACTGACACCCACAATGGGGCACTATTCCTCCCACTGACACCCACAATGGAGCACTACTCCTCCCACTGACACCCACAATGGGCACTATTCCTCCCACTGACACCCACAATGTGGCACTATTCCTCCCACTGAAACCCACGATGGGGCACTATTCCTCCCACTGACACCCACGATGGGGCACTATTCCTCCCACTGACACCCACAATGGGGCACTATTCCTCCCACTGACGCCAATGATTGGGCACTATTCCTCTCACTGACGCCAATGATTGGGCACTATTCCTCTCACTGACGCCAATGATTGGGCACTATTCCTCTCACTGATGCCAATGATTGTATACTATTCCTCCCACTGACGCCAATGATGGGGCACTATTCCTCCCACTGACGCCAATGATGGGGCACTATTCCTCCCACTGACGCCAATGATGGGGCACTATTCCTCCCACTGACGCCAATGATTGTACACTATTCCTCCCACTGATGCCAATGATGGGGCACTATTCCCCCCACTGACACCAATGATGGGGCACTATTCCTCCCACTGACACCAATGATGGGGCACTATTCCTCCCACTGACACCAATGATGGGGCACTATTCCTCCCACTGACACCAATGATGGGGCACTATTCCTCCCACTGACACCAATGATGGGGGCACTATTCCTCCCACTGACACCAATGATGGGGCACTATTCCCCCCCACTGACACCAATGATGGGGCACTATTCCTCCCACTGACACCAATGATGGGGCACTATTCCCCCCACTGACACCAATGATAGGGCACTATTCCTTCCACTGACACCAATGATAGGGCACTATTCCTCCCACTGACACCAATGATGGGGCACTATTCCTCCCACTGACACCAATGATGGGGCACTATTCCCCCCACTGACACCAATGATGGGGCACTATTCCCCCCCACTGACACCAATGATAGGGCACTATTCCTCCCACTGACACCAATGGTGGGGCACTATTCCTTCCACTGACACCAATGATGGGGGCACTATTCCTTCCACTGACACCAATGATGGGGCACTATTCCTCCCACTGATACCAATGATGGGGCACTATTCCTCCCACTGATACCAATGATGGGACACTATTCCTCCCACTGATACCAATGATGGGACACTATTCTCCCACTAATGCCAATGATGGGGCACTATTCCTCCCACTGACACCAACGATGGGGCACTATTCATCCCACTGATACCAACGATGGGACACTATTCATCCCACTGACATCAGTGATGGGGCGCTAGTCCTCCCACTGCAAAATTACAGTTATGAAGTAGCAACGAAAATAATTTTATGGTTGGGGGTCACCACAACATGAGGAACTGTATTAAGGGGTCGCGGCATTAGAAAGGTTGAGAACCACTGCTTTAAACCCTTCTAAATTCCTTTCCCTAAGCCCACAATGGCTGAAACAGTTTAGGATTATGCTTTACAGGTTAGGATGCATTACAAGTGCCCTAAATCCTAGATGTTGTAGTATTTTAAGGACCTTTACTGTATTTTCCCTAACGTTTATTTTACAAGTATTAAAAAAGTATTTATAGTTGAATGAATACATAGCAGAACTAAAGGGATCTGATATATTTGCATTGTGTTTCACTTTAAACAAAAGATGCTTTTCAATTTTCTGGGATAGGTTATTCTAAAGTCAATATTTTTCTTATGCAGCCAAGGTAAAGTATTTACTATATAATGTACAGCGCTGAGCAAACCGTTGGCGCTATATAAATACTGTATAATAATAATAATAAACCAGGACCCTATATCTGGTCTCCCACAGTACATGGAAATGCAATTATTTTAATAAATATAAACTACTAAATTCCTTTTCTCATCAGCAGTATATAACAGTCTTGTAACTTCTATCAGTGTCCGGCCAAGCATTGGTTAAAGCTTGTAGGAGGAGTTTTCATTCTCCACTGACTGTCCTATGATGCTGCATGACCCCTGACCCTCTGTCTGGACAGAGCTGATTGGCCCAGTGCCAATTACATGCACCCTACAAAAAAAAAAAACCTCTCTAGCAATACACACCAAACTGAGCATGTGCAAAGCGTCTTCTAGGGCTCTGTACCAGTAGATGGATTGGGGACTGTGGAAGAAGGGGAGGATCAGAGAAGACAGGATCAAACAGCCTTTTTACACAATGCAGAGAATTAACCCCTTAGGTTCCACAGTGAGTATAACGAGCATGCTTTAATGCACATGCTGACTGATTTTACAGTTGTGTGTTTAGTAACACTATAACATTGTAAAACACACAAAGTTCATACTTTGGACATGCAAGAAAGTTTACTAGACTTTATTTTCAAGTAAGAGGCTGAATTATATGGACCGTCTAAATACAGTATATTTGAAAATCTCTGCATGGAACAAAAAACTGCCATTAAGAAATTTCAGTGAAACATTTAATGAAGACTTAACACAGCAGGTTCCTAGACTCAAAATGACATATGGGCATAGTGGATTATTTCAAGTGCTTCAAAACCAGCAATTAAAAAAAGCATATTTTGCTTATCTGAAGGTATTACTAGAAATTTCTAAAATGTAAATGTCAGTTATGCCTTTCTTTTTGCATTTCTCTTCCAGCTTAAATCAGAGCTCAGAGAAAAGGGCAGACAGAAACAATATAAAATTTATGTCTTGGCTAAACCATCAGCACAAGTCCTTAGTTTAGCCTTCACAGCACAAAAGTGCACTGAAAAGTTTTATTGCTGAACTTTAAAGAATAATAGGAAGTATATATAAAAAGCAATATAAAGAGAAATGGGTATACTGTATAGCTCAAAGGCTCTAATCAGACATGTTATCCTAAAGCTAGAGGAAACACCACACCATGTCTTTGGCTTCATTTTAATGAACCAACACAGCTATTATTAACACCTCCCTAAGAACAGATACAACAAGATACCAGCTATTGCCCTTGGTAGCCTCAAGAAGCATTCATTGCACACCTCTTTGAAACTTGTTTCTGTTTGTTACATAGCGCCTTGCTTCAGACAGCACAGCAAAATGTGGATCCACAAAAGTGAATGGGAAGTACCATGAATGGGAGGAGTTTGGCGCCATTTTACCAGAGTCCTGTGTGTGGAAGACGGGTACGCTCTGTGCTGTGGACTGTGCTGTTCTCTGTTAGCTGGATTTGCAGAGTGTGTCAGTACTGCGCAGGCGCAAGATCGAGTGGTGCATGCTGGGATAGCCAGCAGCACCAATTCCAGGAAGTGAAGACCTGTGGGCTTCCGATGCCCACAGCCATCATGGCGCCTGCCTGCTTCCGAGATCCAGGTAAAGTTTAACTTATTTGAAAGTAATTACAAGGCTATTACTAATAACTTTATCCAATTGAGAATGCTAATGGAAAGGAAATCCTGGGTCTGCTTTTAAATTATTCTGGGGACTGGAGCTCCGCTTTAAATCTAACAAAATCTAAAATAATTTTTAAAAAGTACAAACTCCTGTACCTAGTGGGTTTATAGACAATACAGCCCTAGGGGATGAAATATATACTTCAAAATGATTAGTTAAGTGTTCTTGCATGGCGACCACTTACTGTTATCTCACATATATATTCTTCTTATTATAGCCAAATTTACCACCCTAACTCCTCCCACAGTTTTTACACTACATAGACAGTAATATACGAAACGTGCGGATTGTTCCCGATTGGTGTGCTATTAGTTTGTGGAACGTTTCGCCGAATGGTTCACGAAATATCGTGAATGAATGGCAGAATGTTCAAAACTAAAGTGGAAGCTGACAAATGCTAGAGTGTGAGCTGAAAAATCAGGACATGATTTCTAAACTGCCATCACTCCCTCATTTTCAAGCCCACCTACACAAATCTTGTATCAAAATGTTCAGCTATCCCTGCTGCCACTAAAAAATGTCCACGGCTAAGCCATAGTCCTGATAGTTTTCACAATATGACCATTTGTTTGAAACTCACGCCGCCCATTGACATTCATTGAAACTCCACTCTAGCCACCTCAAATTTGAAGGGCAATTTCTAAACTGTGACTGTGCCTTCATTTTTAATATTTCAGAGACATACTATGCATCAAAATGTAGGTCTGTGTCTTGTGACTCTCACAATATAAATCTCTTTGGTGTAGGATTTGTAATTTTTAAACTACAACCATTTGAAGATGGCAACTGCCAGTGAAGTGAGCAAGTTGGAGCAGTTTGTTTTCAACCGCTCTTTTCTGCCCTTGCTGTAGAGTGAGTTGCCATAGGAACCCAGGTGTGTGAGCAGGCAGAAAAGTGGCAAGCCACTCCACCCAGTTACTCCGCCCACTCCAGTTGTAGACTACTGGTGGAGGCAAGAACACTTCACACAATTTCCCCAGAAATTGTAGCTTTTCTAGTTTCCTATATTATTTCCCTGACGGCAATGGGGCAAACACACTGTAACCCAGATGGGCTGGATCACTACTAATAGTTTTTGTCCGCTTTTTTGATCAGCTGGCATACACTGTGTCCAAATTTGGTAGATCTATACCTATAATCTGTTGTGCTGTTTTCTCCACATGAGACATGCACTTCATATCCTCTGCCCTGCAGCTGGCATACCACACTACAGCACAATGGAGAAGATTGATAAAATGACAGAAATTGACCAGAAGCCTTAAAGTGTTACTAAACCCAGGACCCTGCATTCACTATATCTGGTCTCCCACATTACACACAACATGGAAGTGCAATTATTTTAGCAAATATAAACTGCTAAATACCTTTTCTCATCAGCAGTTAGAGCAGTCTTGTGACTTCAGCTGAGCACATGTTAAAGCTTGTAGGAGGAGTTTTCTCTAGAAGGATGAAAATCCCCTGGCCCCTGTATGGACAGTGCCGATCGGTCCTGTGCTGATCACATGCACTCTCCCAAGAAACAAAAAACATCTCTAGCAATACACACTAAACTGAGCATGTGCAGAAGGGCACAGTTCAGTGTGTCTTATCAGTGTGGGCATATGAATGAGAGGAAGGGCAGAGAAGAAAAGATCAAACGGCCTTTTTACACAATGCAAAGGATTAACCCCTTAGGTCCCACAGTGAGTATAACAAGAATGCTTTTACTGCACATACAGACTGATTTTACTGTTGTGGGTTTAGTAACACTTTAAGGGTAATCCAGCGTGTTTCAATCTCTTAAGGAAAAACAGTCTCTGCTGAACTTTTTTCACTAGGAAACAAGTATTTTGAAACCATGAAAACTCCGTTGTAATATGCACACCCAAAAATGTGATCGCGTCCATCTCCTCCTTTCCACCTCCTCACCACCTGCTGTATATATACCGGGCAATGATTGATCTTTCTTGAGCTCCTATAATTTACTATTATTTTCTTTTTACAGTAATAAGTTAAAAATAATTATCTGTACATCACTCAAACAAATGTTGAAAATTCTGCCTATAAGCGGTGTTGCCATTACCCCGTAAGAGTCCACCTAAAGTGATGTATTCAGCAAACTTCATAGTATTTGATGCATGTATGGGAGTGCAGTCATGTGTAAACAATGTAAACAGGGCTGGACTCAACACACATCCCTGTGGTACATCCCTGTATTCAGAATAATAGTATTAGACACCTGCTCTCTATTCTCTCAATTTGTGGTCTATTTGTTAGGAAATCCAGAATCCATGAGCATAGCAATGGATATATGCTAAAATCATTTAACTTTTTTTTCACCAATTAGACAGGAACTACGGTATTAAATTCTGAGCTAAAATCAATAAATAACATTCTAACATACATGTGTTTGAGTGCTCAAGGTGTTTCAGGGCAGTAAGCAAAGCAATAGAAATGTATATCATAAAAAAATTATACAGTTTAAATTGTGGGAAAATTACATTTATTGCCAGCTTCTTTATAAAAAAAAAAGCATACCAATCCCTCCAAATGTCCCTAAAATACACTGAGGGTTTTTTTTTTAAAAAAACAACAAAGCTATCAATGATAGCTTTGGCAATTTGCATTGGTACATGTTCCCCAGGGTAGTGCCCATTCCCGTGATATTTTTTGTCACCTTCTTGCCTAGTAGCCTAGAAAATGGGCATTTTTAATTTGACAGATTTGGCTCCTATTGATTTCAAAGGGTTTTGGATTCAGCTTTTGAATTTATTTTAAGTTTGATGAACCCTGCTAAGATCCAATCCATGGCACTTCCCCTAATCACTAACAGGAGAGGTTTTCTGACTAACAAAGACAACATTGGGCACCTTGTAGGACTTTTTTTACAAGTTTAAATGGCTGTCATGTTCACTTTAAAGGTATTTTCTATTTTCTGAATTCAATCAAGAAGCCAATCAAGAGGCCAAAACCTCGGATCTGCTCTTTATGTATAATTTTTTGGATAAATAAAAATTTCTTTATTTTACTGTACTGCCATACCCGTCAGAAATCTAGATTTAAGGTTTACATAATTCCTTGATTATTTAATATATTTTTATTTTATTGTATGACAACTTACCTTTGGAGAATGTATCATGCTGCAGTTCATTTTGCCTTGGATAATGTATTCCGGCTCCCCAAGCAACCAGTGGTGTCAATGTCTCAGAAGGGTGACCTGCACCATGAGAACCTGCAAGACAGAAAGTGGTAATATACAGTATAAATAAGCAAAACATACATCAAGTTTACTGCGTACATAAACTTGAAATGGTTAACCAAGAAATCACACCAATCAGTTGTCTAGCCAGAGGATCCCAGTGAGAGAGGAGTATGAAAATAATATGTTTAGTTTCCAACAGGAAGAGCTAGTATTATAAGGAGCGTTCGTGTGAAGGCTACAAGAAAAGTTTATGTGAGTCCACTGAGCTTATAACTACTTGTACACATCTCCTTATAACTTAGCATTACAAATACCGGATATTTACAACATATTTGTATCAGCTAATTTCTAGAATAATGTGATCTTTAAACATAAGTCACCAGAACATTTATCACCATTCAAATACACTAACTTAGCAGAGATTAAAGTGGTATTAAACTCCACCAAAAAAAAAAAAAAAAAAGTAAAAAAACTGGCCCTCTACATGCCATATTGTGTTAGTATGGCAGACTTGCCTGTCAAATTGAGCACTCCATCATTGCATTGTTACTGCTCCCACAGGTCCCAGGCAGGTTCATCTTCACCTTGTCTTCCTTAAAGGTTCAGTCTCTTTGTCCACTTGAATGGCCAGGCCAGGCCAGGCCCAGATGGTATCACTCCCATGCATGTGAATGGGAGACATCACCATGGCACACAGCAGGTGCCATAAATGTGTTCTGAGATGCGCATGTGCAGATCCAATTACTGCTAACAGACAGGGGGAAGACTTTTTGATATTAGAGAGCACTAGGGTCTCTTCTGTTATAAAAACCCTGCCTGTCAGCAGTTTTTCCAGATTTGAATTCACTTCTTCAACATTTAGCAGCAGTCTACGTAGGCCTTCTGTTCAAGATTGCAAAGTGTCCATAAACCAGATGGAATATATAATTAATCTAGTGATTAAATTAAATAGGCATGTGCCTTGGTCCTTGCAATTGGTCATGCCTGGGGTCAAAGGCCATCTATGTAAAATGTCAGACCATATCAATGGTCCTCCCATATGTTGAGAATCAACATCTCTATTACCAGGTGTTTCTAGATTAGATTTTGTCAACCAGGTTGCCACTGAGTTCATCTAGGATGCTGACGGCACCCCTGATCATGGTGCAACATATGTATGCAGTGTCACAGAAGTTGGCTTTCTTCCGTTAGTGCCGCATGTGTTTGTGCTGACAGTGCGCTCTACTGCACACCCCCAGCACGAGGCCTTAACTGTCACCAGGAGCTCCTGCCTTCCTGCCATAACAATTGGGAATCAGTCAAATCGGCTCCCAATCAGGTGGTCATTGTGATACCTAGTCACAGTGACCACTAGTGTTGGAACCAGCCCTGAACTGTTTCGCCTCTGTGAGGAGAAAAAGATACTCCTCAATAGAGTAAAAGATTGTGTAAACAAATATTTATAATAGTGTCAGTGTGTTTAGGTAGAAAAAAAAAAAGCAAAATGCAAAACTATTGTTTCTTAGTCTTACTACAGGTACAAACAAGTAATGTCCATATGTGAGGTACCTTCATGCACATCAGGAATAGGTTTTTTTCCATTCATAAGAGTTTTGCTGATGGGTCATGGTAATGGCATAAAAAAATACAGCTAAAATTTAAAGATAATATTTTTTGGCTATTTTCAGGCACTTTTTCTTTGATAAAAAAAAAAAATCAAATTTCCATTAACATTTACCATCAAATGAACACCCAATTTGTCTTGAAAAAAACAAAACAAGGTATAATTCGCCTGGGGTACCATGAGATTTTTGCCTACTTTTAAAGGATACTAAACTTAGAAAAGGTTAAGAAACACTGTTCTAGATAACTAAATTTCTTACTCCACCGTTGAGGGGAGCATTGCAAACCTGTGGGAATAGCTTAATGCTGATGCTGCTTTCCAAGGTACTTGACAATTATATTTAGTTGATGTTAATAATTAAAAACATGAGCACATGCAGATAAATAAAACAGCAAGGTCAACAGTGAGGAAACCTTATTGCAAATGCTACTTGACAAAGTCCAACAAAATAATTTTTTGAGCACAACTAACAAAGTCATGAGTCTACCTAGTTATGGTTAGTTCATATTGTTTCATGATCTCAGAAAGGTCTACAAAATTCCCGGTGATTTAATGAGAAGTACGGTATCCCATTTACAAAAATACAGAGTAAATCTGACTTATTTGAAAAAGAGAGGATTTTTATCATGACACAAAATCAGCATTTGGATCCATGCACACTGGGCCTAAAAAAATGGCAGTTCTTTTGGCAGAAACAAAATGTACATAAAGAGCATTTTTATACAGGCATTTAGGGGTTTTAAGGAGTGTTTAGCATTTTTTATGTCAGAAAAATCCTCTCAAAAACGCAAACCAAATGTTTTTTTATCCTGCCTCTAAACACTGAGCTTAAAATGTGATTCTAAACATCCTAATGTACATGGAAACATTGGACAATACTGAGCTGCTTTTACAGGCAAAGCGAAAAACTCCTGTAGAAGCAGTGCTTTTTAAGCCCAGTGTGCATGGACCCTTAAAGATATGCTGGGAAGTAACTTATTTTAGGAAACAAAAACTCTCATATCTTGAACACGAACAAAAGAGAGTCATTGTAAAATTACAAACTGATACACAGTTCTACTCACCCCAGTCTGTCATGCCGTGATCAGAGGTAAAGATGAAAGCTGTTTTATCATCATATCCATAAAAGTCTTCAATCAGGGTTACCATCTCTTTGATACCTTCATCAACTTTTTTCACATTTTCTTTGTACTCACTTTTTTGGGAAATAAACAGAAAGGTAATTATTGAAGTGCTCAGAAATGAAATGCACACTGCAATAGTTTCCTTTTTTCATATACACATTTGTTAAGAAAGGTAGATAATAATTTTCTTTCTCTTGGAGAGATCAGAAATATCTGAAGACTAGAGTGACCTTTATGTACTTTTTTTTTTCCATCAGGAGCACTAGTGTCCCTGGGTCTGTAATGTAAAATCCTGCCATGTGGTGATGTGGCTTATGCCAATGTTTAGCATACAGTTGCAAGAAAAAGTATGTGAACCCCTTGGGATTACGTGGAGTTTTGCATGAATTGGGCATAAAATGTGCTCTGAACGTCATCTAAGTCACAACAATAGAAGAACACAGTCTGCTGAATATAATGCTACACAAACATTAGATGTTGCCATGGTTTAATTGCACATAACATGTAAACATTCACAGTGCAGGGAGGAAAAAGTATGTGAGGCCCTAGCTTAATGACTTCTCCCAGAGCTAATTGGAGCCACGAGTGAGCCAACCTTGACTCCAATCAGTGTGATGATATTGGATGTGTTGCTGACAGCTGTCCTGCCCTTAACAAACACACACCTGTTTTGGGTTTACTGGTTTCAAGAAGCACTGTCTGATGTGAACCATGCCTCGCAGAAAAGAGCTCTCAGAAGACCTACGATCAAGAGTTGTTGACTTGCATGAAGCTGGAAAGGGTTACAAAAGTATCTCCAAAAGCCTTGATGTTCATGTGTCCATGGTAAGACAGACTGTCTACAAATGGAGAAAGTTTAGCACAGTTACTACTCTCCCTAGGCGAGGTCGTCCTGTAAAAATGACTGCAAGAGCACAGTGCAGAATGCTGCATGAGGTAAAGAAGAATCCCAGAGTGTCAGCTAAAGACCTACAGAAATCTCTGGCGCATGCTAACATTTTTTGTTGACACATCTACAATAAGGAAAACATTAAACAAGAATGGAGTACATGGGAGGACACCACGGAGGAAGCCATTGCTGTCCAAAAAGAATATTGCAGCACGTTTGAAGTTTGCAAAAGAGCACCTGGATGTTCCACAGCACTACTGGCAAAATATACTGTGGACAGATGAAACCAAGATTGAGTTGTTTGGGAAGAACACACAACACTATGTGTGGAGAAAAAAAAGGCCCAGTCCACACCAACATCAAAACCTCATCCCCACTGTAAAACATGGGGGAGGAAGCATCGTGGTTTGGGGCTGCTTTGCTGCCTCAGGGCCTGGACGGATTGTTGTCATTGATGGGAAAATGAATTCCAGAGTTTATCAAGACATTTTGCAGGAAAACGTACGACCATCTGTCCCCAACTGAAGCTCCGCAGAGGATGGGTGATGCAACAGGACAATGACCCAAAGTATACAAGTAATTCAACAAAACAATGGCTGCAACAGCACAGAATACGCCTTCTGGAGTGGCCCAGTCAGAGTCCTGACCTCAACCCGATTGAAATGCTGTGGCATGACCTTAAGAGAGCGATTCACACCAGACATCCCAAGAATATTGCTACACTGAAACAGTTTTGTGAAGAGGAGTGGTCCAAAATTACTCCAGATCTCTGTGCAGGTCTGATCTGCAACTACAGGAAACGTTTGGTTGAGGTTATTGCTGCCAAAGGAGGGTCAATCAGTTATTAATTCCAAAGGTTCACATACTTTTTTCTCCCTGCACTGTGAATGTTTACATGTTATGTGCAATTAAACCATGGCAACATCTAATGTTTGTGTAGTATTATGTTCAGCAGACTGTGTTCTTCTATTGTTGTGACTTAGATGACATTCAGAGCACATTTTATGCCCAATTCATGCAAAATTCCACATAATCCCAAGGGGTTCACATAGTTTTTCTTGCAACTGTAGAGGTGTAAGGTATGTTACAATATCGTACTTTCACTATGGTGACTTAGGCAATTAAATATCTTTGATAATGAGAGATATATCTACTTGATGATGATCATCTCTTAGGATCACATTTCAGTGTGCTGCAAATCAAGTGACTGTTAAAAAGTTGTTACAAATGTCATTGTCCTAGGGTAAAAAATGCCATCCAGCAAAAGGGCCTTCAAACTGCCTATACATTCACTATACAAATTACATGTTCATTTCTAAGTATTTATAACTTCACTAAGAAATAACTACAGTCATGGCCAAACATATGGGCACCCCTGCATTTCTGTCAAATAATGCACTACTTTGCCCAGAAAATTGTTGCAATTACAAATATTTAGGCATTGTCATGTTTATTTCTTTGTTTGTATTGGTATTGACACAAAGTAGAGAAACAAAAAGCCAACTCTGACAGACTCCATGCAAAACCCCAAAAATGGACTGGACAAAATAATTTGCACCTTCTCAAAATTGTAAGAAATAAATGCATTCCAGGTTTGTGATGCTCCTTTAATTTGTAATTAAACTCATCTGTATCAATTAACAAGTGTTGATAATGCAGAAATCACACCGGCAACCAGTTAAAAAGGCGACAAATTGACTTAACCTTTCTGTTGTGTGTCTCTGTGTGCCACATGTAACACAGAGAAGAGAAAGAGCAGAAAATAATTATCTAAGGACTTGAGAACAAAAATTGTTGAAAAGCGTGAACAATCTCAAGGTTACAAGTCCATCTCCAGAGATCTTAATGTTCTTGTGTCTACTGTACACAACATTGTCAAGAAGTTTACAGCCCATGGCACTGTAGCTAATCTCCCTGAAAGTGGACAAAAGAGAAAAATGATCAAAGATTGCAAGGAAGGATTGTTCAAATGGTGGCTAAAGAACCTCGATCAACTTCCAGACAAATTTAACCTGACTTTCAGGCACAGAGTACAACTGTGTCAGCTCGCACTACACATCACCATCTGAATGAAAAGGGACATTATGGTAGGAGACCCAGGAGGACCCCACTGCCAACAAGGAAACATAAAAAAGCCAGATTGGAGTTTGCCAAAACTTACCTAAGAAAAAGGGGCGGACTGACCATTCGGGCACTCAGGCACTGCCCGAGGGCCCGGGGACAGTAGGGGGCCCCATGAGATGCCCTTAATACCTTTCACAGGCTTTTTTGGGTGTGGTTTGAGTGTGGGCGAGGACACAGGGGCCCCATGATCTCCTACTGCCCGGGGGCCCCATGAGTTGTCAGTCTGCCCCTGCTGAGGAAGCCAAAATCCTTTTGGGGGAATGTGCTTTGCACAGACAAAATAAAATTACAGCTTTTTGGTAAAGTCCATCATTCTACTGGTTTCAGAAAAAGAAATGAGGTCTTTAAAAAAAAAAGAATACAGTCCCTACAGTCAAACATGGTGGAGGTTCACTGATGATTTGGGGTTTCTTTTCTGCTTCAAGCACTGGATGTCTTGACCGTGTGTATAGCATTACGAAATCTGAAAACTGAAGAAAAAGAACCCTTCCAATCTGAGAGACCTGGAGCAGTTGGCGAAAGAAGAGTGGTCCAAAATTCCAGTAGAGAAGCGTAATAAAACTCATTGATGGTTACAGGGGGCGACTGATTTCAGTTATTTTTTTTTCCAAGAGGTGTGCTACCAAATATCAAACTGGTGCCGGAGTGATTTCTACATTGTCAGAACGTGCAAATTACAGGAGCATCACAAACTTGGAATGCAATTATGTCTTACAATTTTGGTGCCAATAATTTTGCCCAGTCTATTTTAGGAGTTTTCCGTGGAATGTTTCAGATTTGGTTCCACTAGATTTTAGTTAAGGGTATCAGAGTAAAGCTGAATATAATTGCATAGCACACTTTTCAGATATTTGTAAAAAATTTTGAAAATCATTTATCATTTTCCTTCCACTGCACAATTAAGTTCCACTTTGTGTTGGTCTATCACATAAAATCCCAATAAAATAAATTTACGTTTTTGGTTGGTAACATGACAAAATTTCAAGGAGCAAGCATACTTTTTTCAAGGCACTGTATATACAGTAGACACAGACAGCAGGGCTCAGCCCCGCCCTCCACTCTCTGGTCCCAAAATTTGATTGACAGCTGCAAGAGACTCCTGCTGCTAACTATCTGCCCTGTGAGAAGGGACAGAAGTGCTGCTTTCGAGCACAAAGCTGAATTGAGATCAAGCTCAGATAAGTATAAGGGGGCAGTGGGGGGACTCATCTGCACAGAAGGTAAAAAACCTCCAAGTGTTACTAAACCCAGGACCTTGCTTTCACTACATCTGGTCTCCCACAGTACACAGAACATGGAAATGCAATTATGTTAGTAAATATAAACTGCTAAATATCTTTTCTCATCAGCAGTTAGAGCAGTCTATTAGTGTCCAGCAGAGCACTGGTTTAGTGTTACAGCAGCCTAAGGTCTGCAGCATGGGCTGCCTAAAATTTCCCAAACCTTTTAAGACCTTCCCAGTCCACTCGCTCTTTATGGTGACTGGCCTTATTCTAAAAGTATCTTTGCTCATCCAGATGTTTTGTTCATTAATATTCTATCATCTTTAAGGCCCTATTTTCTTTAGTGGGCCCCAACATGCAACCTGTTGCTGCCCCCATGATCACCTGCCTGCTGTCTTGACAAAGTGCATGGTCCGAAATGCCTCAAATGTTGGTCAGTTGAAATTCTGTGCAAAAAAAACCCTTGAGCAGCTGCCCTTTGAGGGACAAAGCCTATTTGCTCCCTCTGTGGAAAAGTACATTAAGCTGATTATAGGGATAAGAGAATTCTTCTACCCCAGAAAAAGAAGGCTTGCACCCCTGCAGGTTGTCTTTCTACTTCTAAGACTAGGAAAAGTTCCTTTCATCCTTCTTAAGTCTCCATGTACAAGATTAGGTCTAGAACACACTTTCGATGGAAGACATGGATCTCTAAGCCAGCCAAGTTTTGCTCCAATTCTTCTACTCAGTGATGAGTTACCCTCCCTAGTCAGAGTGGGGGGATGCTCTATCAGCCTTTTCAGTGCTCTCAGGGTTTTTATGTTGTGGCTTACCTAGACAAGCTCATGCTAAAGGA